TGTATCACTTATTCAAGATAAAGTATCTTAGTATATAACATATTGAATAACCATTTAAATTTTCTGCTGATTGAATCTATTTTACATATTTTTACTATTATATTATTTACAGACATCAAACGATGTCCACAACTTATACGTTGTAATGAAAAATTTTTGATTTTTTCCAGCATATAGAGAGATTTCTATTAAGCACTATAAAATACCTAACATAGAAGAAATACCTGATAAATGTAAACTAAAAATTGCTAAATCTACTGATCCACCTGAATGTGATTGTATAGAAGATAGAGGAGGATAACTTAAAAAGGATGTAAAATCCTTTAAAATGGACTATGCCTTAAACTTGAATTATTTTTTTAACTTTCTTAAAATGAATTGAATTTTCAGTCTCTCAGGACTGGTAAAATTAATACATCTACTTCAGATTTTAAATTCAAAAGATTTCATTCCTTTCATAGTATCTTTAAAATAATCGATAACATTTAGTATATCTAATTTTAAACTTGTATCTAAAATATAATAATTATGTTTATTTTTTTTTCTAATATTACTACGTAAAGCTAACAATGTTTTTATACTATATAAAATATGTGGATCTAATTTTTGAGATATACCAAAACCCATTTCATATCTATTAACATCTTTCTTAAATATATAAAATGAACCTTCTGCTTCTATAAATCCTATAATCCAAGGTTTAGTTACTATATTTGATAAATTAGGGATATCTTTAACCTCTTCTAAATTATTAAATAAATTATAAAAAACAGGAGATATATATGAAGAATGCGGTTTTAATAATTTTAATTCATTTAATTTATAATTTTTTTCTTCTTTTGAAAGTTTATTATCTATCAATATATAATAAGCTTTTTTAAATCTTTCATAATTATAATATTTTGTTGTTAATAAAGGATATTTATCAAAAATTGGTATTACATAATCACGTATATGTTCTAATTTAGTAATTTTAAAATTTACCATATTAGAATTTTTTTCTTTATATATCTTACCCACACCTAATTGAGATTTTACATAATTCAATATTCTAAGATTATATTTATTTTGTGATAATTTATATACTAATTGTCATCTATTATTTGATTTACTAACTGTAAATGATCCATCACCGTCAGTAAATCCTACTAATCATTTTTTAAAAAATTCAAGTTTCTCTACGTTTAGACTCTGCGGTCTAGAATTATAATTCAGTCTCTGAAGAAATAAAAAAGATTTATTTCAGGCAAGTTGTTTAAAAAAATTCATACTTTTTACATATGATCTAATCAAGTAATTACTACTTCTAATTAGTTTATTTTTTATATTTAATGATCATGAGTATATGAATTTTATACTAAAAGTTTCTTGCATCGAGTAGAGTTTATTCACCAAAATTTCACGATTTTGGGACAGCTTATCGCAAACTGTCCAACCAGTCTAATAATTATTATTTTAAATAATTTCAATCAAAATATATTCTTTTAGTATTCATACCATTTTTAAAATTAATTAATTTATTAGTACCTTTTAAATCTTTATATTTTTTATTAATAATTAAATTATGTCCATTTTTTCAATCTAAATAATCTAATTTCTTACTACTTAATAGATTATATTTATCTAAATAATTAATTAATAAATTTCTTGAATTTTTAGAAGTTATTCTTACTAAAAAACCTTCTTCTTTATAATTAAAATTTTTTCTATCTCTTGTATATTCTATAAGATTAACATTTAACATTTCAGCTATTTTTTTCATAATCTCATAATTAGAAATTTCCAGATTTATTATCTGTTTTATTATTTTTTTTTGACTAATTCTCATAGTTAAATGTATATCATAAGCTATATTATCTATATTTAAGGAATAAGTAATTAAAAAATTACCATCTGCATCAATAAATCCAGTTAATCAAGCATTAGAATTCAGATCAGAAAAATCTATAGGTTTTTTTTCAATTTTAGTAAATTTATTATAATTATTAAATCAATCTATAAGTCTATATAAAGCTTCAATTTTAGGTGTTCTCATATAACCATTAATTAAATTTAATACATTATATATATTTTTTAAAGAATATATAGATAATACAACATAATTACCTTTTTGTTTATTAACGGTACCTTTTAATAATTTTGATAAATATACTGCTAATGGTTCATCTTTTATATTAAATACTATTCTGATTGAAGGATATTTAAATTTATTTTTTATACTAGGTACTTTTATACATCCATCCCCTTCTATTAATCCTGCTAAATAACTATTAAAATAATTATTATCTAAACTAGAAATAATAAAAGACAATGTTAAATTTATTTCATAGCAACCTGTCATAATAAAATAATTAATAATTTATTATGGATTATATCTTCATTAAAAAAAAAAAATATTTTTTTATGTATCACGTATAATCTCTGAGGATCTTTCTTATATTTTATATATATAAAATAACCCTGCTGATTATTCATTTATATATCTTTAAAAATTTTAACGAATATATATATAATTCGTACTTAAAGCTTTAGAAGTTTTCAGCATTTAGTGATATTTTAAGCGAGCACTAATTTCTTACCCGCACCATTTTCTACAAAAGCAGAAGATAATAATAATATTAATGAAGGTGGTAATAATCAAAATGATATATTATTAAGTCGAGGAAATCAATTTATATTCGTACTTTAGTACAAACTTGGACTATGTCTTCAGCCCCATGTAGGGGCGTTTGGCGTATAGTCTCTGAGGATCCTACCGACAAATCAATTGATTTGTCCTAGTTTCCTGCATAATCTCTCCATGTATATAAAATATTTAACTCATAATTCCACTGTTAAACTGTGTTTTGCAAATTATCTGTTTTTTATATCTGTTACTCGATGCTTATAACATCATTTTCGAAGAATTCCATGCATATAGCCAAATAATAATTAAAAAGTTTACACTTAAAACGGCATTTCATAAAAATGAATATACAATTTAGTCAAAATTTTTATAAATTGAAAGTTAAATTATTTTTAGATGATCCCAATTAAATTTAATTCTGAATGAATTAATATTATTTTTAATATTAAAAATATATAGTTTATTTTCATTTAATAGATGTTTATTAGAAATATATAAATTAGTAACTATTGACCAATCTTTATAATCTAAATATTTACTACTTTTTAATGGATAAGTATTAAAATATTCTAAAACTAAATTTAGAGAATTTTTACTATTTACATTAATTCTATAATAAGAATTACCAGATTTTCTATTTATAATATATAATTTACTATCAAATAAATTAGCAATTTCTAACATTATTTTTTCATAATTTTTATTATTTAATTCTTTTCTTTGTTCTAAAACATAACTAGTTCCAATTCTAATATTTAAAGAATCTTTTTTAGTATATCTTATTTGAAAAGAAGCATCTGCATCAGTAAATCCACTTAACCAAGAATTAAATTTTAAATTTTCTTTATTTAAATCTAATTTTAAATAATTACAATTATGATTTAAATTAATCCAATCTATTAAATGATAAAATTGATCTATTTTTGGAGTTCTTAATTTACCATTTATATGCTCTATTATATATTTTAAACCCTTGACTGCTGACACAGTCAGGACACAAGCATTTTCATTTTTTTTTATTCTTATAAAACCATAACCTATTTTTAATAATAAATTATCAGCTAAAGGTTTATCCTTAAGATTAAAAGTTATACAAAATCTAGGATTATGTTTTTTAGTTCCTTTTTTATTTTTAGGTATCCAAATATGGCCATCACCTTCAAATAAACCTGCTAAATAATGACTATTTATATCATTTTTATTTAAAATTATATTAGAATAATGATTTTGACTATTAAATTGTATTTTTTCTTTTGCCATGTCGACAGCACCTATCATTACTGGTAAAAAATAATTACCAAACCCACCGATTAAAGCTGGCATAATCATAAAAAAAACCATAACAAATGCATGAGCAGTTACTATAACATTAAATAATTGATGGTCACCTTGTAAAATTTGTATACCTGGACCCATTAATTCTAATCTTATTAATAAAGATAAAAAAGTACCAATTAATCCAGCAAATATAGCAAATATTAAATATAAGGTACCTATATCTTTAGCATTTGTTGAATATAATCATCTTTCAGCCAATAAAATATTGGCTTTAACACCCATATATATAGAATATTAAAATGGAATTATTTCCAAAAAAAAATTTTTATAAAATTCAGAATATATAAATAAGCTGGATTTTGTTTTTTTATTAATCTATATGATAAATATATAATAATAAAGGAATTATATATTTCATATATAATATTTTCTATATAAATTACCAAGGCTTCTACCTTTAACGTAGTTAACGTTTAAATATATAAATTACCAGACTTTCCTAATATAAATATACCTGAAAATATAAAAATTAATTATTAGAAATAAAAGATAATGTTTTTGTATTTAAATTAATATCTTTATATATATCTAAAGTACCTCTTAATTTATTAAAAGATACTAAAATAGATAATGCAATAGCAGCTTCAGCAGCTGCTATTGCAATTATATATAAACCAAAAATTTGACCTATAATATCATCATGATATAAAGAGAATACAGCTATTAAAATAGTTATACCTAATAAAAGAATCTCTAAAGAAATTAAAATTAATAAATAATTTTTTAAATTTAATATAAAACCATATATACCTATTAAAAATAAAAATAAACCTAATTTCATTAAATATATATATATATAATTTGTATATAAATTCTGAAAAATTTATACATAAAATTGATTAATAATTATACAAATATAGATTTAATATATATTAATATATATAGATTATATAAATAAAGTTCTATAAAAAATTAATAAAGTTAATAAAAAAAATTAAACAAATAAATGTTAATTTTTTTAAAGATTAATAAATAATTTTATAAAATTCTATTTTGTATTATTAAAGCAATATTTTGTAAATTTAATATATGTATAAGCCGTAACTCTGAATCGAACAGAGATCAAATCATTAACAGTGACCCGCTTTAACCATTAAGCTATTACAGCTAAAATAAATGGAATTATAATTTTATAGGATTAAATAAAATTAATCTAGATTTATCTCTTAACATTAATTGAGGTAATAAATATGTAGATATTAAATATGTTAAAATTAATAAAAATAAATAACCAAATGATACTTGGTTTACAAAAGTAAATGGTATTAATTGTGGCATATAAATTCTATGTTTTATTTATATTAATATATAGAAAATACATTATAGTAATGTACCCAATGGGCAATTCTTGAAAATATATATATATAAAAAAATTTTTTTTTAATGGAGTTATATATAAACTTGTAAATAACTATTCTGGAACAGGTTCCCCTACTCCAACTATGTTACGACTTAGAACCAATCATGAACGAAATTTAACAATTATTATATATAATATATATATAAGTTTATATATATATACAATGTATATATGTCATATCTAATATATATATATATATACTTAAATAGCTTCATATCCCATTCACTATCAGCCCTTGACGGGCGATTAGTATATCTTTCATAAACTAATTCACCGTGACATAGTGATTCACGATTACTAGCAATTCCAACTTTAGAAACTCGAGTTTCAGAGTTTCATCCGTACGTAGTTTATTTTAAAGATTTACGAAATTTTACAATTTATGTAACTTTTTGTATAAACTATTGTGGCACGTCTATAGCCCAACACATGAAGGTCATGATGACTTGTGTTAATCCCTAATAATATATAGTAAGATTAATAAAAATCTTATAATATTATACATTTATAAAATAAGAAAATATTTTATAAAGGGGTTGCGTTCTTTAGTAAGACTTAACCAAACTTTTCACAACAAGAACTGAACACAGCCATGCAACACCTGTAATTATTAATATAAGAGATATTAATTTATTCAAGGGAGATTGGTAAGATTCTTTGTGGATCATCTAATTAAACAACATGCTTCACTGCCCGTTTGAAAGACCGTCTATTCTTTTGGGTTTCAAAGTTGCCTTTGTACTCCCCAGGTGGAGTGTTAATATGTAAATTATATAACAGCCACTTATAAGAGGCTATTATTTACACTCATCGTTTACAGTGTGGACTAATAGGGTCTCTAATCCTTTTTGCTACCCACACTTTCGTACCTTAGCGTCAGTGTAACTTAGAAATCAGTCTTCACTATTTAGAGTTCTTTCAAATATCTAAAGATTGTATCCCTACATTTGAAATTCCAATTTCCTCTATAACACTCTAGTAATATAATATATATATATTTCTATATACAGATTTTTTATCTATGAAATTATTTAGTTATATTTACCGCCTAATTACACTTTACACCTAATTATTTAGAATAATGCTTATTCTTTTCGTATTACCGCGACTGCTGGCACGAAATTAGTCAGAATATAATAAAAAGAAATACTCTATTTGATATATTAATTTCTATTTAGAATTTCAAAATCTAAGATTTTCACATTCATACTATTTAGCTGGATCAATCTTTCGATCATTGTCCAATATTCCTCACTGCTGACAAATTAATTTTTGTGTGGTCCTTTTTTCATTACCACTGTGATTGATCATCCTCTCAGATCAATTATGGATTATAGGCCTATGTAAGCCATTACCTTACCAGCTACCTAATCCAATAATAATAATTATCCAAAAGCGAATAATATTCTTTATTAGTATTTAACTATTCTTTTGGGTAAATTATTATAAATACTCACCCTTACGCTGCGTCAAGCGCTCAACTAGCATGTGTAAAGCTAATAGATAGCATTCATTCAGAGCTAAGATTAAACTCTTCTATTAAAGAATAAATATATTCAATTACAATTTTATAATTTATATTAATGTATTAATTTTTATTTTTTAGGACATTATAATTTAATGTCTATATATTTATGATAAATTTTTAATCAAGTTTCTTGATTTTTAGTACTATTTAGCTCTTATCTTTCGATATATATACAAATAGCCTATTATGCAGTATTCTTCTGCATATCTATTATTTAGAAATTTCAATTAATCAGTTTCTTACTTTATATGCTTTCAGTAGTTATCTTTAATTAATATAGCATTCCAGCCGTACAAAACTCTTCAAGTTTATATAACTGGTATACCAGAGATTAACTCAATCGATTCCTTTCGTACAACGATCAACATTAATATTTTAATTTCTTTTCCATTAGTAGATAGGATCCGTACTGTCTAACGACGTACTTAACCCAACTCACGTCAATTAATATGATCACTTTCATAATCAATTGGACTATCTTTTTTTCAAAAATAAAAAATTAATAATTAAAAAGGAATTAAATCATATAAGAAAATTTTTATATTTGTTCATGATCAGAGATCATGTTAAAATAGATGGTGGATTAAATTTATCATTATTAAAAACAGATTGATCTATATTATTATTTTTAATAATATTATTTTTAGATTTATCTAATAAATTAGATTTATCTAAATCATAGTTATTACTATATACTCTATTAATAGCACTAACACCTGTATGAATAATACCGCCGGCTACTGCTGCTGCTCCTATAACACCTACAACTTTTTGTGCAGGTGGTATTGATGTTGTTTTTAAAACTGTAGCAACAGCAGCAGTTACACTACCAACAGTAGCACCAATTCCAATTTGACTTCCTACACTATTAATACTACGTCCTATAATTTTACCAGTTTCTTTATCAATATTTATATTAGCATTAATACCGTATTTAATTTTTGAAATCATCTTCACATAGTATTTATAAACCACCCTTAATTAAATATATTATATATAAACTTAATAATAAGATAAATATTATAGTACATAAAAGTTGTAAAATTTTAATATATCTATTTTCAGAAAATTTAAAATTATTTAATATTATATAAACTATTGTATAACATATTGTAAAACTTATAAAAAAAATAATATTATTAGAAAAAAAATTTATTAAATTATTCATTTTTTACTTTATTTGTATATTTCTTTACTTTTTAATTATTTAACTTTTTATTTTTGAAACTTCATATGTAGTCTCTGAGGAATCTAAAAATAAAAGTCTTGTTTAAAAAAACATTCGTTTAAGATCTCATTATAGTTTCCTGCTGATTGTCTATTGTTACATCTTTAATATTTTTATGAAAACGTAGTTATTCATATGTTTTTAAAGCTTTAAGAGTTTCCAGCATATAATGAAGTATTCACACGATCTATAGATCGTCGTAGGCACGTTTATATACCTTTTTATTTGGCGAACAGCCAAACCCTTGGCTGCTACTACACAACCAGGATAAGATGAGTCGACCAATACATTTTTTTTATATTAAAAAAAATGGTTTTTGTTTATAGATGTTTATTCTATTTCCCCAACTCACGTTAGGGTTCAGACTATGTCTTCAATAAAAAATAATTATAAAAAAATATAATTTTAATATAGATAACTTATAATTTTTTTTAATATTCATATTTAATGGAATTATATAAAATAGATTATTTTGAATTTATTTTAAAAATAAAAATAAAGATGTTCCTATACTTAAACCTAAATTTAAACAAAAACATACAATAAAATAATATATACTAATAGATGAACTAAATTTTAAAAATTTTTTTATATAATTTAGTATTTTTATTAAAAATTTTGGGTTCCCATTATCAGAATTTATATTTCAATCATATATTTTTAATTCTAATCATATAAATATTATTGAAGAAACCATTCCTAAATTATATAATAAAAATGTTAATCCATATATTTGATCTATTGACAACATATCTAAAAAATTAAAATAATCTTCATATATACTATTTACAATAGGTTCTATATTATTACTATTTACAGTAGGTTCTATATTATTACTATTTGTAATAGGTTCCATTTTATTATTATTTATAGTTTGCTTATTAATATTCTGTTGATCTATTTTATATTTCTCTAATTCCATTTCTCTATGCATTCGTTCAGTACTTTCAATTCTTAATTTTTCTAAATCATGTGATTTTTTCGATGTGAAATATGTACCTATTGCACCAGCTGCAGTAGTTGCAACTGGTATTAATTTAAAGTTCTTCATAATTTTTATTCATTTAATTTAATTAAAGTACTTATACCTATATGGGTAAATTTTATATATTTATTAAATAGTTATTATTTAATAATATTTATTAATTAATCTAATATTAATATATATATAGTATAGAACTTAGAAATATAAGTGCAGAAAACATACTTACGTAACATAGTAAAATTATTATTTTTAATAATGGACCTCTAATATAATTTATAATATCTATATAAGATTTAATTCATCTATTTTAAAATTTATTTTTAATTATAAATAAATCTGGATAGCTTAAATTTATTATTATTATAGTAAATAAATAGATAGATATAATTATCATAAACAAAGCCAATATTATTATAACAATAAAACTATCATCTATTTGAGATAATGATTCTCATACAGATTTTATATAAACATCATTTTCAGATTTATTTACGATAACCTTAATATTGTTTTCTTTTACTATATTTTTATATAATTCACATGTTTCTGATTTTTTATTATTTATAAAACAATCTTTAATAATATCATTAAAATATAAAAATTTTTCAATTGTTACTACTTCAATATAATCAGGTAAACTAGAAATTGATGCTATAATGTTTTGATTTTTATTTTCTATAATCATTGAACATATTATGTTTAATTTTGATAATTCAACCTTATTATTATTTATATTACTAAAATTATAAAATGATTTTTCATTTTTACATATTCTTTTGTTTTGTGTTGTCATTGTTTCTATTTTTTTCCTAATTTTTATAATATCTCAATTAATACCATTTACTTTTGTATTATTTTTTTTTATAATTTTTAATTTTATATATTTAATATATAATCTTTTTTTTTAATTGTCGGGCATTCATAGAAAGATTATTATAGGTATAACTCACTTTCTAGTCTTTGAACGTTTAAGTATTTTTAATATACCAATACTTACTTCGCTACAA